GGCCGGCAGGGCGCTAACGGGGCCAACGTGGCGCATGGGGCCAGAGGGGGCGCACGGGGCCGGCGGGGCGCTAAGGGGCAAGAGGGCGCTAACGGGGCTGGCAGGGCGCTAACGGGCCAGAGGGGGCGCACGGGGCTGACGGGGCGCTAAAAGGGGCCGAAAGAGCGCTAACGGGCCTACGGGACAAACAGGGCCGGTGGGGCGCACGGGGCCGACGGGGCGCTAAGGGGCGGCTAGGAACAGGCTATCAGAATGAGTAGTTGAGTAGAATAGAAGGATACAGGGGTACATAGACTAGGGGTTGTACCCTCTAAGGCACAATCCAGTATATTCTAGAGCAACTACATAAGTAACATTTGACACACCCCGTAGACTATATAGGGGCAGTGCCTAACAGGAGAAGAAGTTGCTCAGGGCGGCACTACTAGTCCAGCCTCTGAGGCAAGGGTCTAAAGACCAGTCAAAGGAATACAGGCAAGGCAAGAGTCAGACCAGGGCGGCACTACTAGTCCAGCCACTGGGAAGAGGCCACAAGCCCAGTCAGGGTAATATATATAGAAAAGGTTTGTACACAATCAAGGCCCTAGCAAGTGAGAAGCTACAGGAACAAGACCAAGCTGTATACAGTGCCGCTGATGATCTTTAGGCGCAAACGCCTTCGTAAAGATATCAGCTCTGTTGGCACCGGAGGCCAAGTGTACTACGCGGGCCTGGCGACGCTGCTGCAGCTCACGAAGGAGGAAGTACCGCAGCTGGATGTGCTTCGCTCTGCCCTCGAGTCGCGGCTCCTGACACAGGAGGATCATGGCCCTGTTGTCAGCGTACAGGACCGGGGCACAGCTAGGCCGCTCACCTAAGTTAGTGAGCAAGAAGGTCAGCTAGCGGAGCTCCTGTGCCGCCATGGCACCGGCGTAGATCTCGGCCTCACAGCTGGACTGGGCAACAGACGAGGAGCGAGTAGCTCTCCACGAGACAGCACCTGAACCAAGGCTGAAGCAGTAGCCCTGTGAGGACCTAAGAGTCTCAGTGTCGTCTGCCCATGAAGCGTCTGTCTGCCCAGTAAGGACCACTGGCCTACGCCCTCCAAGCACTAACCCCATGCCCGATGTACTTGCAAGATAACGCAAAACCCTCTTAGCGGCAGACCCGTGCTGAGGTCGGTGTCTGCCTGTGGCCACAAAGCGAGCCAGGATGCTGAGAGGGTATGCAAGATCTGGGCGAGTGCAAGTCATCAGGTACATGAGGCAACCCACCAGCTCGGCGTAAGGGCCACTGTGCTCTACCAACTCCTCAGCAACTAGAACAGAGAGCCTATGGTCTACAAACAAAGGGGTGGGCTGTGTAGAAGAGAACTGAAGGCCGAACCTCTGAAGGACCTGGCGCACCAAGTGTGATTGTGTGAGGGTGATGGTGTGCACTGCTCTTGTGAGAGTACGACTCCGTTACACCACTTGGCCTCTTCCATATTTCATCTTCATTTCATTCCTCTTTTTATCTCAGCTCCTTTTGCCTCATATTCCCCATTTTCCATTATCCTTTGGTTTCTTCCCTTATTATAATTATATCACCGACCCAGCATGGAATGTTCTAGACACGCTATCTAGCGTAATCCTGTCGTAATCTCTTAAACCCAATAGCCTCGCGTGGCTATACGCAGGGTGATTCTATCTTCTAGAAGGGTCTATTTCTTTAGGATAAGATAAACCTGGTTACCTGATGTACTCTGGAAATATAAAAGCGCCTTGTACTGATCGATAGTGCAACCTTTCCTCGACACATTCGATCCTGTGACACTTGGTATCAGAGCTTTTCTCACTCGGCCGCGCTCAGCTAAGCAGCAGCAGCGGGGATCCTGCCTCGAAAAACCGCCGGGGGCGACCAATTCGACGCCGATTCTGGTAAGCACCAGCTCCGCGATTTTCGAATTACCCCCTCCGTGCGTGTTTTGAACAGGATGGCAACCTTCGACAACGCCGAGGTTACCCAGCAGCTCTTCGCGCGCATCGCAGCCCTTCAGGAGGAAATGCGAGCAGATCGCGAAGCGTGGCGAAACCAGTTCGAGCGAGTAACTCGACTCGCCGGAGCGCAGCACGAAACGACAACGGCGACGACGCAGCAGTCGCAGCAGTTTCTCGAGGCTCCGAAACCGCGCCCACCTGAGCCGTTCGATCCGAGCGATCGAAACTCCGACGCCCGCAGATGGATCGCCGGGATGGAGATCTACTTCGCAGCCGTCGGATGGAGCTCGCCAGTCTGGGACGGTCAACGTGTACGACTCGCGGCGACACTGATGCGAGGGCCGGCACTCGAGTGGATTGGCGGCAACAGCACCTTCATCCACGGTGAAGCCACGTGGCAGCAGTTCCGCACCGACCTGCTGAAGCGATTCGAGCCGATAAATTCGAGTTTTCTTGCCCGCGAAAAAATTCATCGTCATCGACAGTTCGGGAGTGTAGCGCAATACACGCAGCAGATGGAAGAATTTTATAACCGAATTCCCGACCTGACCGAAGGGGAAAAAGTACAATCGTACCTCGCCGGGCTGAAGACCGAAGTCAAACGACAGGTGGCAGCGTCAAACTACGCGAGCTACAGTGACGTCGTTTCGGCCGCGGAGCGCTTCGACATGGTCAACGCCGGAACACGACGGACGCACGTCGGCAGTACGCGACAGGGCGACCGCTCGGCTCACCCCACGTTCGCCGACCCGATGGAAGTCGTCAGATTCGAGGGGCGGCCACGTCCGAAAAACACCAACTACACGTGTGATTTTTGCGGGGTGCCGGGCCACCGAATCTTCGACTGCAACAAAATGAAGGCCGCACGCGCAGAGTATCGGGCACGCAACAGTGGCGGAAATCTTCCGGCCAATCAGAAGACAAAAAACGGGAGTCGCCAGTGATTGCGGATCTAGCTGGCGAAAATAAAAAGATCCGGAAACGGCCGCGGGATTCCGAAAAAATCAACTTCGACGAAGCTGATTCGACGCGAGCAGGAGGAAATGATGGGGGAAAATCTCCACCCCACGACCAGTCTTCGCCAGGGAAATTCGCCGAGGAAAAATCAGACTCCGCGAAAAAAGACTCTGCCGAGACGGGGAAACTCCTTGAAGACCCAAGAAATTATAAGAATTCGTTAAAGCTATCCTATAAAGATGCTTTAATGAAAACTTATGATTTTCGAGGAGCTAGAGCCTTGGAGAAATTTCGGGAGGGACTCCAAAAGAAGCAGACAGCTGTGGAGATTATACCGGTACCGGACAACTTGGGGACCAAATTACGGAGTGTGGAAAGAAGCCGACCTTTCCACGGAGTCAACGTCCTCTCCCGACACCAGCCCACAACGACTACCCGCTCCCCAGGGAAGACGTCGGTGGAGCTGAAGCAGCTCAAGAGGAAGCTGGGGGTCTACAAGAAGCTGCACAAACCCCGAACTCCTTCTACGGATGCATCCAGTTCTTCGGCATCAATGACGCGCACAGTCGTCAAGGAAACTCCGGGCCCTGGGGAAGAGCCGTTCTCCAAGCAGCCTCGGCCAGCTGCCAGCTCAGGAGTAGACAGCAACACAAAGGTGTGTACGGAATATTGGGATGTACCCTATGACCCAATCAATGAAACTATCTTTGGGTACTCCGAGCAACGACTGCCCCTCGTGCTCGAGGTCATCTGCAAAGGACGACGCCTCCAAGCACTCGTGGACAGCGGAGCGTCACACACCGTCTGCGACAAGGCAATGATCGACCGACTCCGGGAAGAGTACAAGCCTTCAGGATTCTCTGCAACGATGGTGGACGGCAGCAAGTTACCAGTACACGGCGAAGCAGTGCTACATCTACAAATCGGACCACTGCGCTGGAGACCTGCACTCCCCATCACCAACATCAAAGGGCTTGACTTGATCTTCGGGCGAGACTTCCTGAGGAGATTCAACCCCGAGATCAACTGGGTAAACCGCACCGCAAGCATCTACAACAATGGACGGAGAGTACAGCTACCCAACTGGGACGACACTGGAGATATCCCAGTGGAGACACTCGCACGATTCGAGAAGGATGTGAAGCGGACCGACACCGGGTTCCTGGCGATAGCAACAGAGGTGGAGAATGACGGAGAGAAAGCCTCGGAAACTCCAGAAAAAATCAAGGAATTACTGAAGGAGTTCCAAGACATTCTTCCTGACGATCTTCCGAACGAGCTACCGCCATACCGAACGCATCAACACGAGATCGTGGAGGAACCAGGTTCGAAGCCGACCTTCCGAGCACCATATCGACTCAGCCCTACGGAGCTGACCGACATGAAGAAGCAGATCGAGTATCTCCTAGCCAAAGGACTCATCCGACCATCTACTTCGCCATACGGTGCCCCAGTACTCTTCACACCGAAACCGGACGGAAGCCTGCGCATGTGCATCGACTACCGAGCTCTTAACAAGCAGACCATCAAGAACAAATATCCGATACCACGAATCGATGACCTGCTTGACCAGCTTCGGGGAGCTACGGTATTTTCCAAACTGGATCTGCGGTCCGGATACTGGCAGATACGGATGGCGGACAACTCTATCCACAAAACTGCTTTCCGAACTCGGTACGGATCGTACGAGTATCTGGTAATGCCGTTCGGACTCACCAACGCACCGGCAACGTTCCAAGCCGAAATGAACCACATTTTACGACCACTCTTGGACGAATGCGTGGTGGTGTACCTGGACGACATACTCATCTACTCGCGCGACATGAAACAGCACGTCGAACACCTGCGACGCGTCTTCGAAATTCTTCGACGGGAACGATTCTACGTCAAACTGTCCAAGAGCGAATTCGCCCTGGAGAAGGTCCAATTTCTAGGCCACATGGTGAGCGCTCAAGGAGTTCACGTCGACCCCAAGAAAATCGAAGCCGTACGTACTGTTGTGTGATGTCATCATATGCTATCACATTCTGTCTGCCTCCCATCCCATATTTTCAACTTGCTCCTTCTAATTCCTTGTGAGATTCTTGAACTTTGATTGAACCTTTTGAGATTGAGTTAAGTTCTCCTCCTACAGCTTACCCCCTAATGCGTCGAAAGCCATAGCGTCGCGAATACTTCATCAATCAACGTGATTCAAATTGGGAACGGTAGCTGAGATTAAGAGCTACAACATATCCAAGTTTCGCGACATTCCAACGGCTAGTTTTTCGTCGACGTTGTTTCTTGTGAAGACGACTTTTCTGTCCAGAATTTCGGATTTATATTTTGAGTAATTCTAGTTCCTAAGTTCACCTAGACTCCGTCCTTAATCCTAACAAGTGGTATCAGAGCTGTATTAAGGACGTTGAGAGGAGTCTACAGAAGTGTGAAGACCCTTCTAGACCCACCATGGCCTGTGGGTGTGCCTAAGTGGTGTTCTAAAGGTTGGATGTGTCTTCCGCTAAGGGAAACTCTGCCGAAATTTCGTGGACGCCGACACTTGTGAAAATATCGAGGGAGCTGAGTGTGGACAGCAAAGGGGGGCTGAAATTCGTCATTTCTCAAGGAGAAGATGAATGAGAGAGGAGGAGATGCTAATGGAAGAGGAGCTGTAGCTGAGAAGACAAGTGAGCCGCCGCCATCAAAAGTTGAAGCTTTGGATGGCTCCAACTATGAGGAATGGAGCGGACGGATGAGGAGTGCCTTCAAACGCTACAAGCTACTGAAGATTGCTGTTGGGGAAGAGAAGATGCCGGAAGAAGGCGAAGCACGCGAACGGTGGATTGAGAAAAGCGCGGTGCTTTTCGACCTCATCCTTCAATCGGTCAACAAGGAGATGTTCGAGCACATCAAGGATCTTGTGGAAGCGGATGATTCGGGTCCAAGGGCGTGGAAACTACTACGCGATGTGATTCAGCCCAACACTCTCCCGATGGTGATCGTGCTCGAGAAGGAACTTGCTGCCATCTCCATGCGACCAGGGGACGATGTGAAGCCGGTCCTTGACAAGATCAAGGACACCTATGCAAGGATGGCAGCAGCGGGCAGCAGTGTATCTCAGCTGCAGCAGTGCACCAAGATCATCTCGGTGTTGGACAACTCGTGGGATAACCTCATCCCCACCCTCAACTCTCAGCAAGATCAATGGACACCTGAGTGGCTAAGGCAGCAGATTCTGCAGGAGGACTTCCGCAGACGCCATGTGGGAGGCGGTGCTGCCACTAAGACTGCTGAGGGGTATGGAGCTGCAGGGCGCGGCAGAGGAAGAGGGGGTTGGAAAGGCCGAGGCCGTGGGAGGAGCTTTGGCAGAGGTAGAGGCCGAGGTGACTATAATGAGGGGCATGGAAGCTCCAGTGGCAGGGGGAGCACCAGAATGGAGGGCACCTGCTGGTACTGCAAGAAGATAGGGCATCCTTGGTTCAAGTGCTTCAGCAGGCCGGAGGGATGGGCACCTCCAGGCATGAAGCCGCCCAGTGGTGAACGCGCACAAGGTGGCGCTGTGCAAGGCTCAGGTGCACAAGGTGAAGGTGCACAAGGTAATGCCTATCCTGGTTTGTTTGTTATGGTTGAGGATGTGCATGGGCATGAGGGTGATGTGGGATCTGTGGGAAAGGTTGTGATGCACCCTCTCACGCACTGGGTGATTGATTCAGGTTGCACCAGTCACATGACCCCACGGGCAGATTTGCTTGATGAGGTAAAACCCCCTGGGAAGATTAAGTATGTGGCAGCAGCGTCAGGTGCTTTGCTCCCCGTGATTGGTGTTGGGAATGCCAAGGTTAAGGGAGCTAATGGGGAGCTTGTGGGGCTTGGGAATGTTCTGCTGGTTAAAGGCTTGTCTGCTAACCTTCTCTCTGTGCGGCGACTGCAGAAGAGTAAGGCCGAAGTGACCTTTGGACCAACCAGCTGCCGTGCTAAGCTTGGGAAGAAGGTGCTGTGGAGTCTGGAAGAGGAGACCAGCTGCATCAAGGACCTGTGGCAGCTGCCCATCATCCCTTGGAATGGGAAGACTCCAACAGCAGTAGAGCAGCAGCAGCAGCAGCAGCATGAGTCTCCATCTTGAGTTCCACACCCGCCTGAGCGTCCTAGGAGGGATGTGCGCCCTCCAGTGAGGCTGACCTATGGGGGAAGAGGCAGGCCGAATGTGGTGCAGGCTGGGAGTGTGGTTGAGCAGATTGAGGAAGATGAGATCGCTCACTGCTACTGGGCACCAATCCCTGAGCCCAAGACTCGAGAGGAGGCCTTGAATGGACCAAATGGGGAGAAGTGGAAGGCGAGTGAGGATGAGGAGTTCGGGTCCCTAATTGAGAACGAGACATGGGACCTGTGTGACTTGCCTCCTGGAAAGAAGGCAATCACTTCCAAGATGATCTACAGGCACAAGTATGGACCTGAAGGGGAGCTGACCCGCTACAAGTCTAGGCTTGTGGCACGGGGGTTTCAGCAGACAAAGGGGAAGGACTATGATGAGGTGTTTGCTCCTGTGGGGAAAGGAACAACACTGAGGGTGCTGTTGGCGATAGCTGCACTCCTGGGATGGAAGATTCGGCAGATGGACATTGTGACTGCCTTTCTGAATGGGATCATTCTGGAGGAGGTGTACATGAAGCAGCCAGAGGGGCTGGATGATGGGAGCGGCAGGGTCTGCAGGCTGAAGAAGGCCATCTATGGCCTTAAGCAGGCGCCTCGTGCATGGTATCACAAGTTGGAGGAGGCGCTGCTGGCTGGGGGTTTCAAGAAGAGTGAGTGTGACCCCAGCCTGTTCCTGCTGCAGGAGAAGGACGAAATCCTCATGCTCTTGGTGTATGTGGATGATATCCTTCTCTTTTCTGCATCAACTGCTTTGCTGGACAGCGCAGAGCAGATGCTGGAGATGCAGTTCAAGTGCTCCAAGATGGGTGAGGTGAAGTACTACCTGGGGATGCATGTGGAGAGAGATGTGGAGAAGGGTGTGCTGAGGTTGCACCAGAGGAAGTACTGTGAGGGGCTGGCTGAAAAGTATGGGCTGCAAGATGGGGGAAAGCCAGCAACACCACTACCTTCAGGGTTTACTGTGGAGCCATGTGCTGATGAGGAGGTAGTGGGTGAGAGTGACAGAAAGCTGTTTCATTCGATGGTTGGGTCGCTGAATTATGCTGCAAATCATACACGGCCTGACATTGCATTTTCTACATCACGGTTGGCTAGTGTGGTCTCACGCCCTAGTCATGAGCAGCTGGAAGCGGCCAAGAGGTTGGTCCGCTATGTGAGTGCTACGGCATCAGTGGGATTGGAGTACAGTGGAGTGAGGCAGCGGTTGCAGAGAGGTGCTGCAGATGTGAAGAGTGGAGAGATGCTCTTGAGTTGCTATACTGACGCTAGCTTCAACTCAGTGAAAGCGGATGGCACCAGCATTGGGGGTTATGTGTGCTTGCTGGGAGGTGGTGCTGTGAGCTGGCGCAGCAAGAAGCAAAATGAGGTGGGATTGTCCTCATGTGAGACTGAGTACATGGCCTTACACCATGGGGCCAAGGAAGTGGTATGGCTGAGGCGTTTGTTGGAGGAGTTGGGAGTTGGTCAGGAGGAGCCGACAGTTGTGTTCTGTGACAATGAGTCTGCTGTGAAGCTCGCCAAGAATGCTTGTCTGCATGGGCTGACAAAACACATAAGGCCTAAGTGGCACTGGGTGAGAAGACTCCTTGATAAGGAGGTGCGGCTGGAGATAGTGAAGACCCATCAGCAGGCAGCAGATATTTTCACTAAGCGTCTGGCGGAGGCGGATCATTGGAAAGGCATGAAGCTTGCTGGAATGAGTGTGCATTGAGTATGCATGCTTGAGATGTTGGTATGGTGGTTGATGGTTGGCAGCCAGAGGGGGAGATTGTTGTGTGATGTCATCATATGCTATCACATTCTGTCTGCCTCCCATCCCATATTTTCAACTTGCTCCTTCTAATTCCTTGTGAGATTCTTGAACTTTGATTGAACCTTTTGAGATTGAGTTAAGTTCTCCTCCTACAGCTTACCCCCTAATGCGTCGAAAGCCATAGCGTCGCGAATACTTCATCAATCAACGTGATTCAAATTGGGAACGGTAGCTGAGATTAAGAGCTACAACATATCTAAGTTTCGCGACATTCCAACGGCTAGTTTTTCGTCGACGTTGTTTCTTGTGAAGACGACTTTTCTGTCCAGAATTTCGGATTTATATTTTGAGTAATTCTAGTTCCTAAGTTCACCTAGACTCCGTCCTTAATCCTAACACGTACGTGGAAGACACCCGAGAACGTGAAGGAGTTGCAGCAGTTCCTAGGCTTCGCTAATTACTACAACAGGTTCGTGCCACAGTATGCGAAACTCGCGGCACCACTCACGAATCTGCTGAAGAAGAACACGCCCTACAAATGGGAGACGAAGCACCAGGAAGCCGTGGAGCAGCTGAAACAAGCGCTAACGTCCGCACCGGTGCTCATCTTGCCAGATCCCGAACGTGACTACGTAATCGAAGCTGACGCCAGCGACCAGGCAGTGGGAGCAGTCTTAATGCAAGACCAGGGCAATGGACTGCAACCAATTGCCTACCTCAGCAAGAAACTGCACGGGGCGGAACTCAACTACCCGATACACGACAAAGAGGCTCTTGCTATCATCATCGCCTTCAAAGCGTGGAGATGCTATCTCGAAGGACGAAGAACAACCGTCTACACCGACCACTGCAGCCTGAAATATTTGAAGACACAACCCAACCTTTCCAGGCGACAGGTCCGGTGGATCGACTTCCTCGAGACACACTTCCACTACGACATCGTGTACAAGCCCGGCCACAAGAACAAAGCAGACGCGCTCAGCCGGCCTGCACACGTTGCCGCGATTCAGGTCGAAGGGATGAATCCACTACTCAAGGGACTCTTCACCCACGGGTACGCCATCGACCCCGAAATTCCCTTGGCAGAAAAGCGACATCTGCTACAGTGGGACAGTGACATCGCGTACCGGAAAGGATCAACAAAAATCTGGGTACCCAATTACCCTCCTTTGCGCCAGTTACTACTCGAAGAATACCACGACGTCCTGTACGCGGGCCACTTCGGTAGCAACAAGACGCTCACCGGTATCGCCAAACACTACTACTGGCCCCATATGGCAGACGACGTCCAGAAATTCGTCACCTCGTGTGATACATGTCAGCGGATGAAGAGCAGCAAGCAGAAAAAGGCGGGACTACTGCAGCCTCTTCCTGTCCCAGAACAACCATGGCAAGTGGTTAGCCTAGACTTCATCACCGGGTTACCACCTACCTCCAGCGGTCATGACGCCATCCTTGTCGTCATTGACAAGTTCTCCAAAATGGGACACTTCATCCCGACACACACGACGGCACGCACCGAGGAGACAGCACAGCTCTTCGTTCGTCACATCATCTCACAGCATGGCATCCCAACTACACTCATCTCCGACCGAGACCCTAAGTTCACTAGCAAGTTCTGGAAGGAACTTATGTCTCTGCTCGGCACCAAACTCGCCATGTCATCCGCATACCATCCGCAGACAGACGGACAGACCGAGCGCCTCAACCAAATTGTTGAGCAACTCCTCCGAGCAGCCTGCAAGGACGACATCTCCAAATGGGACTTGCACCTACCCGTCCTGGAGTTTGCCTACAACAATGCTACACACGCCGCTACGGGACAGACGCCGTTCTTCCTCTGCTACGGACGCCACCCACTCACACCACAGAAACCAACAGCATCACCTACAGTCCAACCCGCACATGATTTCATCACAACCATGCATCAGCTTTGGGATCGGACCCATAAGCGCCTCCTTGACATTCAACAGCAACAGAAGCGCCAGGCCGATCGCCATCGCAACGACCACACCATCACGGTGGGGGACCAGGTGCTTCTCGACACCCGTAACCTGGACATCAGCCATCTCCCATCTAAACTTCGACCTCGCTTCTGCGGGCCTTTTCTCGTTGAAGCACAGGTCACTCCTGTTACCTTCCGCTTACGCCTGCCAGCTACCTGGAAGATTCATAACGCCTTCCATGTCCAACTTCTGAAGCCCTATCGAGATCCTAACACGATCTTCGTGGGACGCCAGCCGCCGCCGCCGCCGCCCGTCCTCGTCCAGAACGAACCCGAGTACGAGGTCGAGTCCGTGCTTGCACATCGTCGTCGTCGGAATGGCACCGTGGAGCTTCTCATCCGTTGGAAGGGTTATGATCCTTCTGAGGACAGCTGGGTACCTGAGTCCGACATGGGTAACGCCCGTCGTCCTCTGCATGACTACCTTGTCAAGCAGGGTGTTACTTCTACCACCCAGCTTTGAGGGGGGGAAGTGTGAGAGTACGACTCCGTTACACCACTTGGCCTCTTCCATATTTCATCTTCATTTCATTCCTCTTTTTATCTCAGCTCCTTTTGCCTCATATTCCCCATTTTCCATTATCCTTTGGTTTCTTCCCTTATTATAATTATATCACCGACCCAGCATGGAATGTTCTAGACACGCTATCTAGCGTAATCCTGTCGTAATCTCTTAAACCCAATAGCCTCGCGTGGCTATACGCAGGGTGATTCTATCTTCTAGAAGGGTCTATTTCTTTAGGATAAGATAAACCTGGTTACCTGATGTACTCTGGAAATATAAAAGCGCCTTGTACTGATCGATAGTGCAACCTTTCCTCGACACATTCGATCCTGTGACAGCTCTGTCCCTGGAGATCTGCAAGCCAAGGTAATGGCATAGTTCTCCAAGGTTAGTGCAATTGTGTCTCTTCAGCAGCTCTGCCTTCACGGAGGTCAGTGCGTCCCTGTCTGCAGTGGCGAAGACCAGGTCGTCTACGTAAACAAGGATATAGAACGGAGTCTGGCCAGCACGAACAAAGAGCGAGGGGTCTGCGGAGGACGGAAAGAACTGCAGGTCAGCAAGGGTAGCACGCAGCGTGTTGTGCCACTCACGAGGAGCCTATCGCCGGCCGTAGACGGGGCGCCGCAGGAGCCACTAGGTCCCAGGAGGGAAGGTACCAGTGAAACCTTGAGGGCGGCGCAGGTAGACCTGCTCGTGTAGAGTGCCCTGAAGAAACGCAGTAGAGAAGTCGAGGGAGTGAAGCTCGTAGTCACACTGAGCTGCTACGTGTAGCAGCACCCGAAGAGTAGTCATCTTCAGGGTCGGAGCAAAGGTCTGGAAGAAGTCCACCCCCTTACGCTGACTGAAACCTCTAGCCACGTAGCACGCTTTGAACACAGGCGGCTCTCCAGGAGGGCGCTTCACCTTGAAGAGCCAACGGCCATCGACTACGTTCACCCCAGGTGGGGGAACTGCGTCGACGTAGGTGCCGGTGGATCTCGAAGATGCCATTTCCTGCTCCATGGCAGCTATCCACTATGAGGCCCAAGGTCCCGAGGTCGCCTCAGCGTAAGTGCGAGGGGTCGGGATGTTGAAAGCGTCGGGGTCACCCTCAGGGACTAGAAGCATGGAACAGAGATGGGGAGCAGCCTCGGACAGGAAAGCAGGCTCGTACTGACGGTCCTCCAGGACATCACTGCCGAGGGCAGGAGCACCCCCGACAGACGGAGGACAGGCAGGGTCAGAGACTAGAGCGGTGGCGTAGTCAAGGCGGCGGGTAGAGGCGAAGTCAGCGACCGCAGCGACAAGAGCGTCAAGACACGAAACCGGAATAGACGGGTCGGTAACGAGAGAGGCAAGGACCCGAGAAACAAGAGGACGAGCGGCACGCAGGTAGTCAGATAGAGGGGGGGGCGCAACAACAAGGGAGGACGGAGGAGGCGACGGGAGAAGGGGAGGACGAGACGCGTGGGAACGAAGCAACATAGGGTGAGAGCGCGAGACAGGGGAGACAGGTCGAGCACGGGAGGGTCGGCGAGACCAGACGTGAGACGGAGGGTCGTCCGCGAGAACGGCTAGGAACGACCGCGACGGCAGCTAGGAGCGTTCGCGAAGGCTAGGAACGGCCGCGACGGCGGCTAGGAACGGTCGCGACGGCTAGGAAAGACCGCGACGGCGGCTAGGAACGACCGCGACGGCGGCTAGGAACGTTTGCGACGGCTAGGAACGGCCGCGAGACATCGGCTAGGGACGGCTGCGATGGCTGCTAGGGACGGCCGCGAGACGACTAGGGACAGCCGCGACGGCTAGGAACGGTCGCGGCAGTGTCTAGGAACGGCCGCGATGGCTGCTGGGAACGGGCGAGATGGCAGCTAGGGACGGGCACGACGGCTAGGGGCGGGCGTGACGGCGGCTAGGGCCTAGGGCGGAAGCGTGGGCGGGCTAGGGGGGGGGCGAACCTACTATGATACCATATCAGAATGAGTAGTTGAGTAGAATAAAAGGATACAGGGGTATATAGACTAGGGGTTGTACCCTCTAAGGCACAATCCAGTATAGTCTACAGTAACTACATAAGTTACATTTGACATAGGCGGCTAGGAAGGGGCGGCTAGGGCTAGGACGAGGGCGGAAGCGCGGGTGGGCGGGGAGGGCCTAACCTAGCGCGTGATACCATCTCAGAGTAGAAAAGTTTACTAGAATGAGGCATACAGGTTGATTCTGTTCAAATGGTTGTACCCTCTAAGAGCATGCACCTATCTAGCCTATTATAACATATACAAATATGTTTGACAGGGTAGCCATCAAATATGCTCTCGGTTGGCCCTCCACTGTTGCATGCCACCACTGGCTTGCTTGCTGCCATGGCCTCCAAGGGCACGGCACCAAAATGCTCATTCTGCAGGAAACAGAAAAGCCAACCACCCACAGAAAAGGGCAGCCATGCACATGGCCCCAGGAAACAAGTGGGGAGATAATGAGACTGGATGGAGACAACCAGAGCAGCAAGCAGAGATAGCTCCCTTTTTTTTAATGAAGAAATTAGTGTGATCATATAGTAGGTGCTCACCGGAGGCGTGCAGACCACGGCAGAGCAGTGGGACAGTGACTGGACCTTTGGGATGGGATGGAAGGCTGATGATGGCATCAACCTCTGGGATCCACCGGAGCCACACAGAGATGACGATGCAGAGGGCCGCCCAGAGGCATGTGAGGTAGGCACAGACTGCATGCAGCCGACCAGCACTGTGGAGGGGGAGGAAGCTTCCCCCTCCCTCAACGCGCCATTGTAGGCACACACCCCTTAGAGCGCATTGGCAGCAGCCCCCTGCCACCCGTGCACAGCCTGGAACATGCCCTGGGCCAGCGCATCCCTCTCCGCCACAGCAGTCGGCGACTCCTCATCCGCCCTCTTCGCAGGGACAAAGTCATCAAAGGCGTCGTACGCCCAGTCAGGGTCAAACGCCTCGCCCTTCTGCTCCAGGAAATTGTGCAGCGCGCAGCACGCCCCCACCAATCTTGGCAGCTCGTGCAAATTGCCCTCGGCCCGCCTCAGCAGAATTCTCCATCGCCCTTTCAGCCGGTCAATCGCGTCCTTCCCCACTGCAGTCCCCTTCTCGATGCACTCATTGAACGTGGTCTGGTACCACGTGGCGCTGTCTGATTGGCCGTACGGGACCAGCAGCCAGTCCTGGAGAGGATAAGACCGACAGCCAATCAGCTTCGCTCCTTTCAAATCTCCAGCCTGCCCTTTTTGGTAAAGACTCGAGTGCTGCAAAACCTCCTCATCAGAAAGTGATCCGGGCAGCCCGATGCAAAGGTCTAAAAATTGCCCGCTCGCATCGATCGCTGCTTGCATCACCATGGAGTAGGAGGGCTGGGCGAACCGTTCTGTGTGCTGCTTGTTGTGGTACGTAGCCATCTTGGATCCCGGGGTTTTGATGGGGAGGTGTGTGGTGTAAAGAGTTCCTATCAGCTGCCCGTTCCCCAGCTGCTGCGCCACAGAAGAGGCGTGATCCACCCCACAAACCTCGAGAAACTGGGCAGAAATTTCAGCTGCCCGAGCGCTGCCCGGTTCGGGCCAGACGACCACCTTGGGCAGAACAACTTGGTTCAGCGCCTTGAGGACCTCATTGGCAAAGACATGCACCGTGGACTTGCTGAGCACAAACCTCCTGGAGATCAGCCCGATAGGCTCGCCCGTGGCCAGGCGCCAGAGCGATGCTCCAAGCCTGATGTCCACTGACATTGCCTTCTTGAATTCGGTTGACGTTTTCACAATCAGCGGTGCCAGCATGCCACAGAGCTCCATAAACGTCTCCCGGCTCATTCGGAACGCCTTCCGGAACGCCTCGGGAGGGTAATTCGGGTCAATACACTCCTCCCACCAGGCGCGGCACCGTGGGCGCGGCCAGATCTGCGTGTGGACCATCTGCTGCCGCGACAGCATCGCTCCAGCTGTCATGCCGGCCTCGCAGACGCGCCTCAGCCGTTGGATCTCCTGCTGGCAGATCGCATCATTGTCTGCGACGTCTCGGTTGAGATTGAACTTGATGGACCTCACGAGGGTGTGGTGGTGCTCGAGGTACTCCGAGCGAATCAGTCGGAGCCGTCTTAGGAAAAAGGAGGATTCCTTGGCGGCACGCTGCTCCTCTAGAAGGAGCTGGAGGACCATGGCTATGGCGTCCTCGTTAGAAGCGGTCTCGATGCAGGATAAGAGCTGTTGAAAGTCGGCTTTGGAGCAGAGGAACGGGGAAGGAGTTGTGCGAACAGATGGTCGGAGGAAAGCCGCTTTATCACTCGCTCCATCCCCCTCCTTCTCCTGCTCTCCTTGCTGCTCCCCCTCTCCGTCTCCCTCCTCTTCCCCTTCTTCTCCTCCTTTTTCTCCCTCGCCTTCTTCCCCTCCATCCTCCTCCTCCTCCTGCTCTCCTTCCTGCTCTCCCTCCTTGCGGCCCTCTCCGTCTCCCTCCCCTTCCCCCTCTTCTCCTCCTTTTCCTCCCTCGCCTTCTTCCTCCTCTTCCTCCTCCTGGCCCAATTCCTCCAGCCTCCTCTTCCTGCTCTCTTTCGCACCCATTACCCTGCCATATTCCCCTTGTTCTTCAAACCCATCCTCTCTCTCAATCCTCTGCCCCTCCCCTTCCCCCTCATTCCCCTCCCCCTCCTCCGCCGCCCCTTCCAGTCGAGCCACCTCAACCTCCTCGAAAACAAATGTGACAGCTCCGTCCGCTGCTAGGTCTGCCACTGCCGAACTTACGAGTTCCAAGCCTGCCACTGCCGAGCCTACAAGTGACAAGTCTCCCTGCATCTCGTGCTGCTGCTCCTCTTGCTGATACTCCCCCACCTCCTCTTCCTCCTCCTCATCTTCCTCCTCCTCTTCCACCTCCCCCTCCCCCACATCCTCCTCCTCCAACGCCTCCTCATGCTGCTGCTGCTGCTGCTCATGCTGCTGCTGGGTGTAGAACGGAAGCTGGTGCGTCTGAAACTCGTTCTCCTCTGCATGCTGCCCCACCTCCTGCTGCTCCTGCGGCAGCTGCGGTTGCTGCTGATCCTGCGGCTGTTGCTGCATGAACTCGAGAAAATACGGCTGATCTACCTGCTCCTGATGCTGCTGCTGCTGCTCAATCTGAAACTGCTCCTGTGGCTGCTGCGCCTGCTGCTGTCGGAAGGCCTGCTGCTGCTGCTGGTACGACTCTGATGGGCCCTGCTGCTCGTACCCTTGCTGCTGCTGCTGCTGCTGCTGCTGCTGCTGCTGCTGCTGCTGCTGCTGCTGCTGCTGCTGCTGCTGCTGCTGCTGCTGCTGCTGCTGCTGCTGCTGCTGCTGCTGCTGCTGCTGCTGCTGCTGGCTGCTGCTGCTGCTGCTGCTGCTGGCTGCTGCTGCTGCTGGCTGCTGCTGCTGCTGCTGCTGCTGCTGCTGCTGCTGCTGCTGCTGCTGCTGCTGCTGCTGCTGCTGCTGCTGCTGCTGCTGCTGCTGCTGCTGCTGCTGCTGCTGCTGCTGCTGCTGCTGCTGCTGCTGCTGCTGCTGCTGCTGCTGCTGCTGCTGCTGCTGCTGCTGCTGCTGCTGCTGCTGCTGCTGCTGCTGCTGCTGCTGCTGCTGCTGCTGGTTCTGCTGCTGCTGCTGCTGCTGCCAGTTTGCGGCTGACTGGACGTTTCGCTGCTGTTGCACGAGATATTGAAGCACTTGCGGCTGATCCGCTACTGGCCCCTGCTGCTGCTGCTGCTGCTGCTGCTGCTGCTGCTGCGGCTGCTGCTGGAAGAGATGTTGCTGAAGCAGCTGCGGGAGCGGCTGCGGCTGCAGCTGCTGTTGCTGCTGTTCGTGCAGCTGAAACTGCTGCTCCCGCTGACGCTGCTGCTGTTGATGAGAATACTGCTGCTGGTGCTGGTACTGCTGCAGCTGATGCTGACTCTGCCGCAAGGGCGCCTGACGGAACTGCTCTTCCTGATACACACCCTGCGCCAGCAAGTGCGACGCTTGCTGCGACTGCAGCTGCGACGTCGGCTGCGCGACTGCGGATAGCAGCTGCGATTCAAGCAGGGAAGACTCAAGAGCAGACTGCGCGGAAGGGGCGGAAGGCGCGGAAGAATGCGCTTCATTCCGCAGAAACGGCTGCACGGCGCCCGCGGAATGCTCCGCGGTGGAACGAGCTGCGCCGAAGGCGGAAACGATCGGCGAGTGAGTGGGGAGGAACTGGGAGATGGAAACAGCGGCGGAGGCGGAAGCGGGGGAAACGCCAGCGATACCGCCGGCGGTATTGCCGCCGAGTCCGCCGACGATTCCGCCGCCGATACCGCCGCCGGGGACACCGCTAGCAGCTGGTGGCCAATGGGAGAAGTAATCGTTGGCTCCGAGAGCTCGTGGGTCGGCGTAGGGAAGATGGCTCCGACGGTGATGACTGCGATTATGATGGACGTAGGGATTGCCGTCCATTTTTAACGGCTGACTAATCTCCCGGAAACAATGTTAGGAGATGCTTAGGAGTTGAAGCTGTTGTATATTCTTTATTTATGCCTCGTCCTGCTGCTCTGGTGCGCTAGTAGTATTTACATGTCAGGCAGCGTTAGAAACGGGCGAATGATCAGGCGAAGCTAAACGCGGAAGATGAAACTCTAGTTTCAGACGCATTACAAGCAGGGAGGGTCAAGGCTAGGATGTGCCACTGTGTGTCAGGGCTGGAAACTAGGAAGCGTCACGCTGATGCTACGGTTCAGAGGACTCCCAGCAAGACCGCCGCCATTGACTGAAACCTGGGAGATGAAAACCGTAAGGCTCTGTTCGGCAGGCCCTCATTCCAGAATCCGAGATGTGCTACTCTTCCCAAGGTCAGGCTCGGATCCACAACTACCCGAAACCGAGAAACTGACATCCTCGCTTCAGTACCTACCACAATACCATGTCCCGCTAAACAGAAGAAAATTAGGAATAATGCAACACCAACATCATTTAGGAAAGTGAAGGGTAAGGTAGCAATAGCAACCAACTTCTTCCAGTTCAGAAATATCAGAGCCGTGATGCTCTAAAGGAGACGTCCACGAACAAATGTCGGCTATAGTTCTCTTGAGTGTATCGCTAATGGACGTAAGGAAAATGACGTCAGACCAAACACCACTCCTCCTCCTTCAGCTAGTTGAGCTCTTCCGGATACTCAACCGGTCCGTAGGAACAGGGAGCGAAGAGGAGTAAGAGAAGCCAAATCATGCACAGATGCACCCACCTGTCAAACATGTGTATCTCATATACTTTGCATAGACTGTATAGGGTCATCTCTTAGAGGGTACAACACTTAGACATATTCCTGTACTCTCTCTCTCTCTCTCTCTAATCATTCATTCAATATCTGAGTTGGTATCAGCAGTAGGTAGGTCCCGCTCACCCACGCTTTCGCTCTAGGACCTACCCGCCCTAGTCGCGCCTGCCCTAGCCGCGCCCGCCCTAGTCGCGCCCGCCCTAGCCGCGCCCGCCCTAGCCGCGCCCTAGCAGCGCCCTAGCCGCGCCCGCCCTGCGCGCCACCTCCCCTCGGCCCTAGCGCCCGTCCTGGCAGCCCCGTCGCGCCCGCCCTAGCGCCCGTCCTAGCCGGCCTCGCGCCCCGCCCTAGCGGCCCCTTGTGCCCGCCCTAGCGCCTGCCCTCGCGGCCCCTCGTGACGGCCCCAGCGCCTAACCTAGCGGCCCCCGTGCTACCCTAGGGGCCCCTGCCCTCGTCCTCCTCGGCCCCTGCGCCCGTCTCAGCCGGCCCCACGGCCGCCCTCGCGACCTCCGCGCCCTGCCCGCTCGGCCCCCGCGCCCGTCCCAGCCGACCCCCGCGCCCTGCCCGCTCCGTCCCTGCGCCTGTCCCAGCCAACCCGCGCCCGTCCCAGCCAGCCCCTGCGCGTCCCAGCCGGCCCGCGACCGTCCCAGCCGGCCCAGCGCACGCCCCGTCGGCCCCGCGGCCGTCCTGCCCCGAGCTGAGTGCGGCTCGCTCGTCGTGCCTCCTCCGGCCCTGCACCCTCCCTGGTACGGTTCCCCCCCTCACCTGCACCGCACAGTACCGCACTGCACCGCCCTGCACCGCACTGCACCGCCCTGCACTGCACTACACCGCCTTGCACTGCACTGCCTTGCACCGCACTGTCCGGTCCTGCACTGCTCCTGATGGCGGCGGAGCTTCGCTTCGACGCTGAAGGCCAGCCTCTGGAGTTCGAGGCGTGGCTCGCCGACCTCCGTCGCCACCTCACTGGCCAGCGGCAGGATGGCCACCTGCTTTCTGCACACCTTGACGGTATGCTCCCCTGCCCAGATCCCCTTGCTGTGCTGCCCGCTGACCCCACACCCGCTGAGCGCGAGTCCGCTGCAGCCGCTGCCCTTGCCCGCTCTGTCTGGCTTTCCCGAGACGCTGTCGCCCAGCTTGCCATTAGCAATGCCCTTCCCCCGTCTAAGCGCCCCCACTTTAGGTCCATCACTACCGCTCAGGCTTACTTAGATGCTGTCCTCAAGCGCTATTCCACCCCTCCTGCTGCCTCGGTGGGTCGCCTGATCCTCCCGCTGCTCTTTCCTGATCTTGCGTCCTTCCCCTCTGTCGCTGACCTGGCTGCCCACCTGCGCACGATAGATGAGACCTGGCGTGCTGCCTGCACTGACGCACAGCTTAGAGCCCACCAGCCGCCGATTACCTCTACCCTCTACCTGCTTGCCACCCGCCTTCCTGACCGCCTTGCCGCCGCCCGCGACCGCTTCCTTAGTATCCACCCCGGTGAGCTCACCCTCACCGACTTTGTAGACACCCTGACTGTTATAGAGACCCGCCACCGCTCCAGGCGAGTGGTACCGTGCCGGTCCCTATCTTTCAGGGTTGTGCCCCTGCTCAGTGTACCTTCTCCGACGGTTCTGCCGCTGTGGCTGAGACTGCTGCTGCCGTGCAGTTCCGTCCGGAGAAGGGCCGCCGCCCCAAGGCTGGGCGCGGCGGCGGAGGAGGGGGTGCAGGTGGGGGTGGTGGTGGAGTCGAGTCGTCTGGTGCTGGAGCGGACGAGGGGATCCTGCCCGCTCCAGCTGAGCAGCCGCCTCCACAGTCGCAGCAGCCGCCGCAGATGAGGCGGGCGAGTGTCCTCCCGCCCGCGTGGCCTGGAGCTGGAGGTTGTCGTGCGCGTAGTGGTGTACCGGGTGGTGGTTCGGGAGGTGTGCGTTGCCAGTACCAGATCCAGACCGGTCCTCGCCACGGCTTTGTTTGCGGTAAGACCAGTCATACCACTCCTCGCTGCTTTCGTCGCCTGGACGACATGTTCCGTCAGCGCTTCGCCCCATCGCCAGACCTCCCAGACTGGCACAGTTTGCTTTGTCGTAGTATTCCGATTTTTGACTTGGACATGGATGCCATTGTTTCTGCTCTGCATGTGATGTATGCTGATGACTCTAGTGTGCTTCCCGCTTATTACTCATTGTCGTCTAGTGTAGGTATGCCTAGTTTAGCCTCCCTTGCTGCGTCAGGCGTAGGAGCCCCTGCTTTGTTTAGCCTTGGTGCCTCCGCCGTCGCCCCGTCGCCGGACGCCACTGCTTCGCTTTCTCTCACCTTGGACTCTGGCGCTTCCCGTTGCTTCTTCCGCGACTTCACTACACTGACGCCGCTTCCTGTTCCTGCCGCTGTTTCTCTTGCTGACCCCTCCAGCGGTCCGGTAGTCGCCCGCAGTTCCACCACCCTTCCCTGTCCGGCAGTTCCCTTGGGCTCTCTCACAGGTCTGCATATCCCCTCGTTCTCCAGGAACCTAGTTGGTGTCGGCTGCCTCCAGGACCTTGGCGTCACCACTACGTTCCCTGGTCACGAGCGGTACAGTGTTTGTACCGAGGCCGCCACTGGTGCCCCCCTTACCACGTTCCCCCGGGACCCGGTGTCCGGCCTGTTCACCCTGGACACCGTGACCCCCCGGCTGGGGCGCCCCTCCAGGTGGCTGCGTCTTCCCAGGTTGCTGCTGCCTGCTCCTGTCGGTCTCTCACTCACTCGACTCTCCTTTGGCACCACCGTCTAGGTCACCCTGCGCTCACGGGTCTGCGTTACATATCCCAGCACGATCTCGTCCTTGGTCTCCCTGGTTCCCTTCCCCTTTTTCCCTCCTCCCCCGCCCCGCCTTGCACTCCTTGTGTCGAGGGTCGGCTTCGCCGTGCCCCCCACTCCTCCTAGTTTCCCCCTACTGCCGCGCCACTGCAGACCTTGCACATGGACGTCTGGGGCCCCGCCCCCGTCCATGGGCCGCGTCGAGAGCGCTACTTCCTCGTGCTTGTCGACGACTTCACTCGCTACACCACAGTCTTTCCCCTAGAGCGGAAGGCCGACGTGCCTGACGCTCTCATCCCCTGGCTTGTCTCTGCGCGTATCCACCGAGGTCTCCCTATCTTGCGCCTTCACTCAGACCGTGGTGGCGAGTTTGCCTCAGGTGTCCTTGGTCGCTTCTGTCGTGCGGAGGGCATCACCCAGACGTTCACCCTGCCGGACTCCCCACAGCAGAATGGGGTCGCTGAGCGACGCATCGGCTTGCTCATGGAGGTTGCTCGCACCTCCATGATCCATAGCGGTGCTCCCCATTTTCTGTGGCCGTTCGCCGTGCGCTACGCTGCTCACCAGCTTAACCTGTGGCCGCACCCCCAGCGGCCGCAGGTTTCGCCGACCCGTCTTTGGACCGGGTCTCCTGGTGACGCGTCTGCGTTCCACGTCTGGGGCTGCCTTGCTCATGTTCGTGCCTCCGGCACGGACGAGCTCACTGCCCGCACCCTTCCCTGCGTCTTCCTAGGTTTTCCCTTCGACGCGTCCAACTGGCACTTCTACCACCCGCCGTCTCACCGCTTCTTTCACTCTCGCGACGTCACCTTTGACGAGTCCGTCTCCTTCTTCCGTCGCTTCCCCCACCGCGGTCCCCCGGTTACCCCCCCCTGTTTCTGGCCCCTTCTTCCCTTGTGGTCTCTGCCCCTCCCCCTCCCCCTCCCCATCCTGCCCCCTCTGGTGTGTCCCACGTCACCCCTCTCCCGTCGGTTGTCCCGGTTGACGAGTCTTCTGACTCTGGTGGTCCTGCGGCGCAGTCCTCGCCGTCTGCCCCTCCCCCGGCGTCTCCTCTTCCACCGCCTCTGCAGCCGTCATCGCCTCTGCTGTCGCTGCCGTCGTCCCCGCAGCCGCCGCCGCCGTCGCAGCAGCTGTTCGTTGCCCCTGGGGGTGTCGGCGTTGGAGTGGGCTCTAGCCCCGGTGGCCCTGGGGGTGGTGCCGGTGCTTGAGGAGTTTCGGGCCCTGCGGGTGTTCCTTCTGGGGGTGCTGGAGTGGAGTCTGTCGGTGGTAGCCGCGGAGCAGCTTGCGGTCCCGGTGTCGGCGTTGTACCTTTGCAGCAGCAGTCCCCGCCCGTGTCTGCCCTTCGCCTGCTCGGCCTTCCGTCCCCTGACCCTGCGTCCGTTCCTCTCCTCCCGTCTCCTCCTCTCCCCGTGTCCAGCCTTGTGTTCCCTCCGCCGGACTCGTCCCCGGCTCGTCTTCCCCCTCGCTCTCCCCTTGTGTCCCCTCCTCTGTCTCCCGACCTGACTCCTCTGTCTCACGTCTGGTCTCACCGTCCCTCCCGCGCTCGTCTTGTCTCCCCTTTCACCCGCTCTCACCCTATGTTGCTTCGTTCCCACGTGTCTTGTCCTCCCCTTCTCCCGTCCCCACCTCCGTCCTCCCTTGTCGTTGCTCCCCCCCCTCTGTCTGACTACCTTCGTGCCGCCCGTCCTCTCGTTCCTCGGGTCCTTGCCTCTCTTGTTACCGACCCGTCTGTTCCGGTCTCGTGCCTTGACGCTCTTGTCGCTGCGGTCGCTGACTTCACCTCTACCCGCCGCCTTGACTACGCCACAGCTCTGGTCTCTGACCCTGCGTGTCCTCCGTCCGTCGGGGGTGCTCCTGCCCTCGGCAGTGACGTCCTGGAGGACCGCCAGTTCGAGCTTGCTTTCCTGTCAGAGGCTGCTCCCCATCTCTGTTCCATGCTGCTAGTCCCTAAGGGTGATCCAGACGCTTTCGACATCCCGACCCCTCGCACTTACGCTGAGGCGACCTCGGGACCCTGGGCCTCTCAGTGGATAGCTGCCATGGAGCAGGAGATGGCATCTTGGAGATCCACCGGCACCTTCGTCGACGCAGTTCCCCCACCTTGGGTGAACGTAGTCGATGGTCACTGGCTCTTCAAGGTGAAGTGCCCCCCTGGAGAGCCGCCTGTGTTCAAGGCGCGCTACGTGGCTAGAGGCTTCAGTCAGCGTGAGGGGGTGGACTTCTTCCAGACCTTCGCTCCGACCCCGAAGATGACTACTCTTCGGGTTCTGCTACACTTAGCAGCTCAGCGTGACTACGAGTTTCACTCCCTCGACTTCTCCACTGCCTTCCTTCAGGGCAGCCTGCACGAGCAGGTCTACCTGTGCCGCCCTCAGGGCTTCACTGGCACCTTCCCTCCTGGGACCCAGTGGCTCCTGCGGCGTCCCGTCTACGGCCTGCGGCAGGCTCCCCGTGAGTGGCACGACACGCTGCGTGCTACCCTTGCTGACCTTCAGTTCTTTCCGTCCTCCGCAGACCCCTCTCTCTTCGTTCGTGCTGGCCAGACTCCGTTCTACATCCTTGTGTGCGTGGACGATCTGGTCTTTGCCACAGCAGACAGGGACGCACTGGCCTCCATGAAGGCAGAGCTGCTGAAGAGACACACTTGCACTGACCTTGGAGAGCTGCGCCGTTACCTTGGCCTGCAGATCTCCAGGGACAGAGCAGCGCGCACCATTACCCTGACTCAGTCACACTTGGTGCGCCAGGTCCTTCAGAGGTTCGGCCTTCAGTTCTCCTCTGCACAGCCCACCCCTCTGCCTCTAGCCCACAGACTCTCCGCTCCAGTTCCTGAGGAGTCGGTAGAGCCCAGTGGTCCTTACGCAGAGCTGGTGGGTTGCCTCATGTACCTGATGACTTGCACTCGCCCTGATCTCGCATACCCTCTCAGCATCCTGGCTCGCTTTGTGGCCACTGGCAGACACCGACCGCAGCACTGGTCTGCTGCTAAGAGGGTTTTGCGTTATCTTGCAAGTACATCGGGCATGGGGTTAGTGCTAGGAGGACGCAGGCCAGTGGTCCTTACTGGACACACAGGCGCTTCGTGGGCGGACGACGCTGAGACCCTAAGGTTTTCCCAGGGCTACTGCTTCAGCCTTGGTTCAGGTGCCGTCTCGTGGAGAGCTACCTTCTCCTCGTCTGTTGCCCAGTCCAGCTGTGAGGCCGAGATCTACGCTGGTGCCATGGCGGCACAGGAGCTCCGCTGGCTGACTTTCTTACTCACTGACTTAGGTGAGCGGCCTAGCTCTGCCCCGGTCCTGTACGCTGACAACATGGCCATGATCCTCCTATGTCAGGAGCCTCGACTCGAGGGCAGAGCGAAGCACATTCAGCTGCGGTACTTCCTCCTGCGCGAGCTACAGCAGCGTCGCCAGGCCCGCGTAGTACACCTGGCCTCCGGTGCCAACACAGCTGATATCTTTACGAAGGCTCTTGCGCCTAAAGATCATCAGCGGCACTGTGTATAGCTCGGTCTAGTTCCTGTAGCTTCTCACTTGCTAGGACCTTGACTTTGTACTGCCCTACATATATATATCTACGTGTACTCAGACTGGACTTGTGTCCTCTACCAGTGGTTGGACTAGTAGTGCCGCCCTGGCCTTGTTCTTGCCTTGCCTGTACTCCTTCTGACTAGTCTTTAGACCCTTGTCTCAATGGCTGGACTAGTAGTGCCGCCCTAAGCTGCTTGTTCAGGACCTGCCCCTATGCAGTCTAGGGGGTGTGTCAAACATGTGTATCTCATATACTTTGCATAGACTGTATAGGGTCATCTCTTAGAGGGCACAACACTTAGATATATTCCTGTACTCTCTCTCTCTCTAATCATTCATTCAGTTTCTGAGTCCACCCACCAGGGTGACCTGCTTCAGCCAGTCTACGGGTGCTCGGTACAGCGAGCGCAGAGTGATAGCCCAATGCATGTACGCACACACACAGATGCCCACACTAGCACCCACCCACCAGTGGTGACCTGTTCGACCCAGTCTGCGGGTGCCCGGTACAGCAATCGCAGCCACGAGCCCCATTCGGCAAGGAGGAGGTAAGTGACAAGAGAAGCGCATCTGTTGGCGGGGATGGATGTGACAATAGGGGGAACTTGTTAGCGGCGGACGGAGGGTGTAGGGAGGTGGGCAAAGGGCGAGGGAAGGATCAAGAGGCAGGCTCAGGGAGGCCGCATGCAGCAGCAGCAGGGTGGGGATGGGATGGAGGCAAGGTGGAGAGCATACGTGACCTTGGTAGGCAGCAGCCTGAGAATGGGATGGACGGCTGAGACTTGATGGCATCAACGGCTGGGATGCACCGGAGCCACATGGAGATGACAATGCAGATGGCCGCCGAGGCATCTGAGGTAGGCGCAGACTGCATGCAGCCGACCAGCGATGTGGCGGGGCAGGAAGCTTCCCCTCCCACACATCCCTCTCCACGGCAGTAGCCAAGGTCTCCTCCTCTGAGCTGCCTTCCTCCCTCAATGCCTCAATGCAGGCAGACACCCCTTCAAGCGCATTGGCAGCATCCCCCTCCCACCCGTGCACAGCCTGGAGCATGCAATGAAGCAGCGCATCCCTCTCCTCACATCCCCACTTCACACCTCAAAGCGTGTTGGCAGCATCCCCCTCCACCACCACAGCAGGCCTCCTCCTCTGTGCTGCCTTCCTCCCTCAATGCCTCATTGCAGGCAGGCAGCCCCTCGACTCTTCACACCTCACGCCTCAGAGCGCATTGGCAGCATCCCCCTCCCACCCGTGCACAGCCTGGAACATGCCCTGGGCCAGCGCATCCCTCTCCGCCACAGCAGCCGGCGACTCCTCATCCGCCCTCTTCGCAGGGACAAAGTCATCAAAGGCATCATACGCCCAGTCAGGGTCAAACGCCTCGCCCTTCTGCTCCAGGAAATTGTGCAGCGCGCAGCACGCCCCCACCAAACGAGGTAACTCGTGCAATTTACCCTCGGCCCGCCTCAGCAGAATCCTCCACCGCCCTTTCAGCCGGCCAATCGCGTCCTTCCCCACTGCAGTCCCCTTCTCGATGCACTCATTGAACGTGGTCTGGTACCACGTGGCGCTGTCCGATTGGCCATACGGGACCAGCAGCCAATCCTGGAGAGGATAAGATCGAGAGCCAATCAGCTTCGCTCCTTTTAAATCCCCCGCTTGTCCTTTCTGGTAGAGAGTCGACTGCTGCAAAATCTCCTCATCAGAAAGTGATCCGGGCAGCCCGATGCAAAGGTCTAAAAACTGTCCGTTGGCGTCGATGGCTGCTTGCACGGCAATGGAGTAGGAGGTCCGGGCCAACCGCTCGGTGTGCTGCCTGTTGTGGTACTTTGCAAGGTTGGATCGCGGCGTGTTTATGGGCAAGTGGGTAGTGTAGAGCGTTCCTATCAGCTGCCCGTTTCCGAGCTGCTGCGCCACAGATGGGGGGTGATCCACCCCGCAACGCTTGAGAAACTGGCCAGAGATTTCAGCTGCCCGAGCACTGCCCGTCTCGGGCCAGACGACCACCTTGGGCAGAACAACTTCGTTCAGCGCCTTGAAAACTTCGATAGAGACGAAATGCACGGTGGTCTTGCTGAGCCCAAACCTCCTGGAGATCAGATCAAGAGGCTCGGCTGTGGCCAGACGCCAGAGCGTTGCTCCAAGCCTGATGTCCACTGCGATTGATTTTCTGATTTTGGTTGACTTTTTCTGAATCAGCTCTTCCAGTATGGTGCAGAGCTCCATAAACGTCTCCCGGCTCATTCGGAACGCCTTCCGGAACGCTTCGGGAGGGTAATTCGGGTCAATACACTCCTCCCACCAGGCGCGGGTCCGTGGACGGGTCCAAACCCGCGTTTGTGCCATCTGGTGCTGCGACAGCGTTGCGCCAGCTATCATGCCGGCCTCGCAGACGCGCCTCAGCCGTTGGATCTCCTGCTGGCAGATCGCGTCGTTGTTGGAGATGTCTCGATTGAGATTGAGCTCGATTGAGCGCACGAGGGAGTGGTGACGCAGAAGGTACTCTGATCGAACAACTCGGAGCCGCTTTAAGAAAAGAGAGGATTCCTCGGCGGCGCGCTGCTCCTCCAGAAGGAGCAGGAGAACCATGGTTATGGCGTCCTCGTTAGAAGCGGTCTCGATGCAGGATAAGAGCTGCTGGAAGTCTGCTTCGGAGCAGAGGAGAGGGGAGGGAGTTGTGCGAAAGGATGGGCGGACGAGAGACGCTTCATCACTCGCTCCATCCTCCTCCTTTTCCCTCTCCCCTTCCTGCTCTCCCTCTCCGTCTTCCTCCTCTTCCCCGTCTCCTGCTTTTCCTCCCTCCTCTTCTTCCTCCTCTACTTCCTCCCCGCCTAAATCCTCCAGCCGTCTCTTCCTGCTCTCTTGCACACCCGATTCCCCACCATCTTCCCCATCTCCCTCAAACCCAACTTCTCTTTCAACCCTCTGTCCCTCTCCCTCCCCCTCCTCCGCCTCCCCTTCCAGTCGAGCCACCTCAACCTCGTCCAGATCAAACGCGTCTGCTCCGTCCGCTGCTAGGTCAGCCACTGCCGAACCTACAAGTTCCAAGCCTGCCACTGCCGAGCCTACAATTGACAAGTCTCCCTGAAGCTCGTGCTGCTGCTCCTCCTCCTGATACTCCCCCGCAACCTCCTCCTCCTCTTCCTCCCCCTCATCTTCTTCCTCCTCCTCCACCGCCTCGTCGTGCTGCTGCTGCTGGGCATAGTAGAAATGCTGCTGCGTTTGAAAGTCGTTCTGCTCTGCCACCTCCTGCTGCTGCTGCTGCTGCTGCTGCTGTGGCGGCTGCTGATTCTGCGGCTGCTGCTGCATGAACTCGAGAAAATACGGCTGATCTACCTGCTGCTGCTGCTCGTGCTGCTGCTGCTCGTGCTGCTGCTGCTCAATCTGCAACTCCTCCTGAGGCTGCTGCTCCTGCTGCTGCCGGTAAACCTGCTGCTTCTGCTGCTGCTGCTGCTCAATCTGAAACTGCTCCTGTGGCTGCTGCGCCTGCTGCTGTCGGAAGGCCTGCTGCTGCTGCTGGTACGACTCTGATGGGCCCTGCTGCTCGTACCCTTGCTGCTGCTGCTGCTGCTGCTGCTGCTGCTGCTGCTGCTGCTGCTGCTGCTGCTGCTGCTGCTGCTGCTGCTGCTGCTGCTGCTGCTGCTGCTGCTGCTGCTGCTGCTGCTGCTGCTGCTGCTGCTGCTGCTGCTGCTGCTGCTGCTGCTGCTGCTGCTGCTGCTGCTGCTGCTGCTGCTGCTGCTGCTGCTGCTGCTGCTGCTGCTGCTGCTGCTGCTGCTGCTGCTGCTGCTGCTGCTGCTGCTGCTGCTGCTGCTGCTGCTGCTGCTGCTGCTGCTGCTGCTGCTGCTGCTGCTGCTGCTGCTGCTGCTGCTGCTGCTGCTGCTGCTGCTGCTGCTGCTGCTGCTGCTGCTGCTGCTGCTGCTGCTGCTGCTGCTGCTGCTGCTGCTGCTGCTGCTGCTGCTGCTGCTGCTGCTGCTGCTGCTGCTGCTGCTGCTGCTGCTGCTGCTGCTGCTGCTGCTGCTGCCAGTTTGCAGCCGACTGGACGTTTCGCTGCTGTTGCACGAGATACTGAAGCACTTGCTGTTGATCCGCTTCTGGCGCCTGCTGCATCTGCTGCTGCTGCTGCTGCTGCTGCTGCTGCGACGGCTGCTGGAAGAGATGTTGCTGGAACAGCTGCGGCGGCTGCGGCGGCTGCTGTTGCTGCTGCTGTTCGTGCAGCTGAAACTGGTGCTGCAACAACTGCTGCTCCCCCTGCCGTTGCTCCTGCTGCAGCTGCTGCTGCTGCTGATAAGAATACTGCTGCTGCTGCTGGAACTGCTGCGGCTGATGCTGACTTCGTCGCAAGGGTGCCTGACTGAACTGCTCTTCCTGATACACATCCTGCGGCAGCAGATGCGACGCTTGCTGGGAAAGCAGATGCGACGGTTGCTGCGACAGCAGATGCGACGGCTGCTGCGACGATTGCTGCGACGTTTGCCGCGCCACTGCGGATAAAAGTTGCGATTCGAGCAGCGCAAACTCCAAAGCAGACTGCGCGGAAGGCGCGGAAGGCCGCGCTACATTCCGCAGAAACGGCTGCGCAGCGCCCGCGGAATGCTCCGCGCCGGAACGAGCTGTGCCGAAGGCGGAAACGACCGGCGAGTGAGTGGGGAGGAACTGGGAGATGGAAGCGGGGGAAACGCCAGCGATGCCGTCGGCGATATTGCCGGCAATATTACCAGCAATATTGCCAGCAATTCCGCCGCCGGGGACACCGCCGGGGACAGCGGTAGCAGCTGGTGGCCAATGGGAGGAGAAGTCATCGTTGGCTCCGAGGGGGGCTTGTGGGTCGGCGTAGGGAAGTTGGCTCCGACGGTCATGACTGCGATGATGGTGGCCGTAGGGATGACCGTCCATTTGTAACGACTGTCTAATCTCCCGGAAACAATGTTTGGAGATGCTTAGAACAAAAGCTGTTGTATCTTTTCCTCTTATTTATTTATTTATTCACTAAACGCCTCCTGCTCCTCCGATGCGCTAGTACTTCCAATTCTCAGGCAGCGTCAGAAACGCGGGATTAATCAGGCGAAGATAAAAGCGGAAGACTGAACCCTGGTCTCAGACGATTTGCAGCTGGGAAGGGTCACAGGGCTAGGAACAAGCGTCACAGGGCGAGGAACTATGAGGAAGCGTCACACTGATGCTGCGGTTCAAGGACTGACTCTCCAAGCCAATCAGGCGTTCGCACTCGAAAGTTCAAGTTTGAACGTTCAAACGCAGGGTGTGGAAAGCAACCAAGACCGCCATAGACAACATGAAATGCGAACTGGAAACCCTAGGAGTGCGTTCAATGGTGAACAGAAACTGCAAATTGAAAACCCTAGTAGAGCGTTCAACGGTCAAAAGCTCTAGGCTCACCAGTCACTCCCTGCGAACACTTCAACGGTCGCAGATCATGTTCCGCAGATCCCAAGGGATGAGGAAATCGGAACAGACCACGCCTTGACAATCTGGTGCCGTGTATTTTCTGCATGACAGTAGCGACTTCTGGAACTCCATTAACTATATGCAAGTGAGAGTTCCAATAAAAATGCAACATAAAAGCTCTCTTGCTTGCAAGGGCTTCCAATTTTATAATTGAGCAATCTTATAACTGACCCCCTTAGAATGGGTCATCCATTATTGAAATCGCGGTACTTCTTATCCAAGCTTTGGCCATGAGCATTATTCATAACGTGAAAGCTATCTAAGACCACATTGTCCAAAGGATTTCTTGCAGCCTGTCACCAAAAACCTTTCGAGAAAACTTCTCCTCCACATGCATTCGAGCTACCTGGCCCATGGAAGCTGCCCGAGAGGGATCAGCCCAGAGTGTGGCAAGAGCAGTGGCAAATGCCGCAGGTTTTGGAGCACAGAGGAAACCCGTCTTGCCGTCTAATATGCTCTCGGTTGGCCCTCCACTGTTGCATGCCACCACTGGCTTGCTTGCTGCCATGGCCTCCAACGGTACGATGCCAAAATGCTCATTCTGCAGGAGACAGGAAAACCAACAGCATACAGAAACAAACAGCCGTGCTCAGCCCCAATGACAAAAGTAATGACACAGAAATAGCTGTTTTTCTTTCAGTCAGTAATACGGCCAGTACTCACAGGAGGCGTGTAGACTACAGCAGTGCAGTGGGAGAGAAGCTGAGCCTTGAGTGCATCACTGATGGACGTGAGGAAAAGGACGTCGGATGCCACTCCCTCCTCTTCTGCTAGCCGCTTCAGCTCTTGCAAATACTCCACATTCTCCCGCACCCGAGCATCACACCCACCTGCTTCAGTTGCAGGCGGAGCAAGTCAGGATGAGCAGCGGAACAAGTCAAACGTATGGATGGAGCGAAATAAACGTAAACAAGAAGGGGGAGGACATACAAGACAGCCGTGAACAGAAGCTGGCTGACTCACATTCATGCACTGGCAAAATGGCAGATTAAACAACGAAGGCGATGCTTGCATGAGCCACTTGCCTGCAACAATGAGCTGGGGGCGCTGAGCCTTCGACAGCGCAAGAGCTGCAGCACCGTCTTGGGTGCCTTGTTGACTGCCCGCCGCTGTCCCTGCTTGGCCTGACGAGCGGGTGAGCAGCCCTAGAGCGAAGATGGCGAGGGTGATCTCCTTCTTGCGCTCGTAGCGGTTGATGGAGAGGAAGAAGCGGCTGGGGAGAGAGAGGGATAGAGGGGAGAAGGGGAAAGTGAGGAGACAGTGGCAAGGACAGGGGGTGGCATTGGACAGGGGGTGGCATTGGACAGGAAGTAGGGGCCAGAGAGAATTGAGGGGAGCAGCATACGAGAATTGGAGCATTCGTACTGTAAGGCTGCTTCAACATAGCACCCCACCCCCACCTGCTCAAATCAATCCCGAGTTTCTGTGCTTCCTGGAGTCCAGCGCCCGACGTGCTTTCGCCAGCACCACCAGCAGCAGCAGCGGGGCTATCAAGTGCCACAGCCGGGTAGAGCACGGCTGGGCGGATACCAAGTTGTGCTAGCGAGGGGAAGGTGGAGGCGAATGTGGCAGCAGTGAAGCGGCTGTTGACCACTATGCTGTCAGCCATACCTGTAGGGAAGAAGTGCACGCAGGTAAGGGGAGACAGGAAACCGGAAAGGTGAATGTGGCTGGAATGACGCGGCTGTTGACGAGACCATTGGCTTGCAAAGTGCTAGTAATACTGTGCACCCACCAGCGGTGACCTGCTCTACCCAGTCTAAGGGTGCTCACTGCTTGGTACAGCAACTGCAAAGTGACCGCCCGATGCACGTGAGCTAACACACTTACATGAAACCATTGGCATGCAAAGGTGCTAACACCATCGTGCACCCACCCACCAGTGGTGACCTGCTCAACCCAGTCTATGGGTGTCCGGTACAGCGATCGCAGCCACGAGTCCCGTTGGGCTAGAAGGAGGTCTGGGAAGTGGCAATAGAAGAGGATCTGTTGGTGGGGGAGGGTGAGGCAACAGAAGAGGATCTGGTAAGGTGAGCGGACAGGGGAGGGTGAGGGAATCAAGATAAAGTGAAAGAGAAAGGTGCTCTGTACAGCCACTGCAACCGTGAGCCCCGTTTGGCCAACACCAGGTCCGGGAAGCGACAGTGGGAAGGAATCTGGTACGGAAAGATGGAGACAGGGAGAGCGTGGAGAGGGGTGTTAATTGGGACAAGGGTGACAAGGAGAGGGAAGGACACGAAGACAAAATAAGGGCATTGAACTGGCTGGGCTGGGCTGGCGGGCGTGGGAGGGAAGGACGCGATAGGGACGAGAGAAGGACGATACAAGGTAGCAGAAGAGGAAGACAGACACCAGAGAGAGGGGACGGGGAGGGAAGGCACCTTGGCAGGCAGCAGTCTGAGGATGGGATGGACGGCTGAGACTTGATCTGTGATGATGGCATCAACGGCTGGGATCCACCGGAGCCACACGGAGATGACGATGCAGAGGGCCGCCCAGAGGCATCTGAGGTAGGCGCAGACTGCATGCAGACGACCAGCGATGTGGCGGGGGAGGAAGCTTCCATGCACGTGCACAGGGAAGGTGCCTGCAGCAGGGATGGTGCAGCGTGGGTTGTGAGCTAAGTGGAGAAATACGCTTGGGCAGCCTAGCGTATTGCGTACATACGCTAGCGTATAATACGAATACGCTGTACGCTAGCTAAGTACGCAATACGCTAGCGTATTTCTTGGCGGGCAGCCCGGCAAGAAATACGCAAAAAATGGTGCGACAAATTTGCGACATGACGAAACCCCACAGGGATTTCGTCATGTCGCAAACCGAAATTTGGCTTTTCAAATCGTCAACCCAACCCCTTCGCCCCTCCCAACCACACAGCATCCCACCCAATCTGCGACTTCCAAACAACACCCAAAGAAATCTCCTTCCTCTCCCTCTCTACTCTACTCCAGCAGGGTTCAGCGCAGTTCACTCCTACGACGAAATCAGGGTACAAGTAAACTGGCGCGCTAACTTCAGTCATTTCTTCTTCCAAGCTAGCGCGACTAGCTAGCTGGTTTTTTAGCGACTGTTGCTATGTCGAACCCTCCACCTAGTCCTGGTTCCCACGGAACCGACGCGGGAACCTCCTGTGCTGCGTCTTCCTCTGACGAGCTCCTGGAGAACTCCACCCTCGCTATCTTTAAGCATTTCAAGTTTAAGCATAAGGAGCACGGCAAGCAGCAAAAGTATTGGTGCAAGTACTGCCCCGTATCCTTTACCGGGACGGCCTACCGCTGCGCACAGCACATCACTAGTTGGGATGGTATGCGTAGGCGCGAGGTTCGGAAATGCGAGGAGGTAGGGAAGGAGGAGCAGGCTGCCGTCCGCGCGTTCCAAACCGCCAAAGTGCTCGCGAGGGAGGAGGCACATAGGGCGGAGGAGTCGGCCCTCGACGCCGTTAGTGGTCGGGGAAAGCGGAAGATCACCGATTACCTGTCCGATGACGCCCAAGCGGCCAAGGCGGCGGCGGACGAGGCTATTTGCCTACTCTTTGCCGGCCTCCGCCTTCCCGAGCGCCATGCTGACCACCCGCTTTGGCGCAACGCCGTCCGGTCCATCGCGCGCGCGGGGACCAGCTATGTGCCTCCAAAGCGTGACTACGTGGGTGGTGCCGGCTTGCAGCTATGCCGCAAGCGGATTGACGAGGGATTGACGGGCGTCATGTCGAGCTGGAAGCGCCACGGCGTGACGATTGCCAGCGACATGATGACCGACAAGTGTGGCAGGCCGCAGGCGAATGTGATGCTGGTCAATGACACCGGCGCAGTGTTCGTCGAAAGTATTGACTGCAAGATGGAGAGAAAGACCGGGGGATACATCGCCCGGCTCCTCCGGCCCATCCTGCAAAAGGTTGGGGTCGAGAACATCGTGGCATTCTGCACCGATGGCGGCAGCAACTACCACAGCGCCTGCCGGCTCCTCATTGCAGAGAATCCGCGCATCGAGCATGTGCCGTGTGCGACGCACGTGCTCGACCTCCTTATGGAGGATGTGGGACGGCAGGCTTGGGCCAAGGAGGTAGTGGGGCGGGCGAGCGAGCTCATCAACTACACCCGCAGCCACCATTGGACCCGACAGTATCTCAGGGGTGTGGACGGAGGGAAGGGGCTGCAGATGCTGAGGCCGGCGGGGACCAGGTTTGGGACGCAGCACATTGCTGTGTCCCGCCTGGTGGAGTTGCGGTCAACGCTGGTGACCATGGTGCTCTGCGATGCATGGAAGGCGGAGTGGGCGGTGGGCCCAAAGAAGGCAGCTGCAGAGACATTCCACGACCAGATCATGGATAAGGACTGGTGGCCAGCGGCTGAGCTCTTCAAGAGGCTGCTCCTGCTCCCGTTCAAGGCCATGAGGGCGACGGATTCGGCAACGAAAGGGATGATGGGCCGCATCTATGAGCTGATGCTTGAGCTCACTGTGAATGTGGCAGAACTGCTGAAGGAGGAGGGGGATGGGGTGCTGAGTGCGGGAGACAAGAAGGGCGTCAATGAGATTGTGAAGCGGCGTTGGGATGAGAGTATGGCTTGCCCACTGCACGTGGTCGGGCGGATTCTTAACCCGGTCAACCAGGAGGAGCGGATTTTTGGGCCGGACACGGAGTGCACCAATGTGTTCAAAGCTTTCATTGCCCGCCACTATGGCGGGGTGATGATTCCCCAGAGGGATGGCCTGCCCAAGCGTGCCACACTCCTCCTGCAGGAAGGGTTGGCCGCCTTTCTGAAGTTGAGGGGCAGCTTCGGCACGGCTGAGGCCATCAGTGACCGGAAGTTGGTGAAGGAGGGAAGTTATTCCATGGAGGCGTGGTGGGAGTGGCACGGCACTGACCACCCCTTGCTCATGGCCCTTGCTTGCCGAGTGCTAACTCAGCCGGTGTCTGCATCCAGCTGCGAGCGCAACTGGGCGGTGTGGGATACTGTCCACACCGCCCGACGCAACCGGCTGGGTTCAGAAAAGTGCAAGGATCTGGTTTACGTTGCGCACAACTGGAAGGTTGTGCACAACTGGCACATGGCCGACGAGGGGGCGGGGGTGGTGTCCGGTAACATCCCGGACGCCCCCGTCCCTGCGGGGTACAGGGTGGATCGGGAGGAGGAGGATGAGGAGGGCGAAGATGAGGAGCTGCTGGACGAGTACCTGTAGAGCAGAGCAGGAGAGGGTTGGGCGGGCGGTTTGGGGGAGGCTTACCTGAGATGGGTGGTTGGCTGGTTGTTGGAGTTTGGAACCCTTGACATGCCCTTGGTGGCTTGAACTATTTATTTATTACCATGCTAAATGATGCCACATTTGGTGGGGGGAATTTGGTGCTCTGAACCCCCCCTCTTCCCTCCCCAAACAGGTTTTTTTTACCCCTGCCCGAGTTGTTGTTATACCTGCCCGCCAGAGCGTATTTCCTAGCGTATCCAATCCCGTAATGAAGCGTACAGCGTATATACGCTAGCGTATAATACGCTTGCGTATAATACGCTGGACGCGTATTTCTCCACTTAGGTTGTGAGGCATGGGCCGTCGTATGGATGTGGGGTGCATTTGATGCATGTGGATGTGGATGTGGATGTGGATGTGGATGTGGATGTGGATGTCAGGGATGGATCCAGTAAATGACTGTCATATTTCACTGACAATAGCTTCCGAGGCCTCTTAATTCACATGGAATGGAAGTGTACAGTCCAGTGACGTGACAGTACAAGCGTAGGATGCATGTGTGTGTGCGGTTAGTGGTTCATGGGCCGAGATAGAAGCAGGGGTGTAGAGGTTCAGGACACAGCATCAGTTGTAAGTAATGCATGAAACGACCAAAACATGGGAAAATTATCTCAGAAGCCAAACTCACACTTTAATCCAATTATCTTCCACCATCAATTTTCAATTCTGAATTCCGCCATCAATTCTCAAACGAAGCTCAGCATGTTGCCTCATTGAGGAGGCATTTCCGAGAAGCACCCAGTCCAGCTATGATGAGTTGTGGACATGCGATTTTACTGGAGACCCAACCGCATGCCGTTGATGGTCTCAGGGAAGCATCTGCCGGGGTCGTGATAGGCTGAGAGGACGAGCCATTTACTATGGCTTGAAGCACATACCGACAATACTCTCAGGGAAGCATCTGCTGGGGTCTGCTGGGATCTGCTGGGGTCATAATGGGTTGTGACGACGGTCCTTGTACCACGGTTTAAAGTGCATACCGTCAATGGTCTCGGGGAAGCATCTGGTGGGGTCGTGATGGGCGGTGAAGATGTGAACGGCATGGCCTCTCGACGCCAGCTCCGCCGCTGCATCCACTATCAGCCGCTCCGCGCCGCCTGAAGGGATGGATGAAACCAGAGCGGAACGAACAAGGGGAGGAGAGATAAAGCTCTGACGAGCGGTGCTGTGAGGCCCGTTGATATGAATGGTCTGCCTCTGACGCCAGCTCCGCCGCTGCATCCACTATCAGCCACTCCGCTCCGCCTGGAAAGATTAACCCCCAAGGGAAACAGCAACAGGAGGAGACAGAAAGCACGCAGGAGGGGTGTTTTGAGGCGCGGTGATATGGCGGACAGTCTGCCTCTTGTTGCTGGTGCTCCGCTGCTGCATGCATCCACTGTCAGCCGTTCCGGCCTGCAGCGACGGATTCAGAGCGGAAGCAACGACGGACGGACGGACGGACGGAAGGACGATTGGAACGACGGACGGAAGGACGATTGGAACGACGGAAGCAACGACGGAAGGAAGGACATAAGGAAGGGCACAGGACGGACGAGGAGTCGGACGGAAATGAATCTGGCTCAACTAGATCAAGCGCGGTTCACGGCAACGGGACTTGAAATAGAAATCTCGAAAACGTGCGACGTAAGCCGTAAAGACTTGTATGATGATGCGGCGTACCTATGTCCTTCGCAGAGTCCTGCTTGTCCACCTTACGGGAAGGACATGAGCCAGTCCTGCTTGTACGCCGCAGCTGCTTGCGATCATGCGGCTTACCTAGTGAGAAGGACATGGGTACGCCTCAGCTACTTGTACGATCATGCGGCGTACCAATGCCCTTCACAGAGCCCTGCTTGTCCAGCTAGTGAGAAGGATATGGATACGCCGCAGCTGCTTGTACGACCATGCGGCGTACCCAATGAGCCATCCGTCTGTGCTGATCGCCAGCGGCTCACCTATTCCCAAGTCTGGGTGGCAAAACACGACTCGCAGCTTCTTTCCGTTCGTCGGCGCCGACGCCAGATCCTGCTCGCTCTGCATGACTCTTCGGGTCCTCGGGAATTGCGAGCTTTCGTTTGTGCTGCCAGAAACGTCAGAGGACGTCTGTGCAGCACTATCGCAGTCTCTAGGCATCAGCGGTGATCAGAAGTACTCAATGAGCTCAGTCATCCCTCACAATGTTTGGAGGACGAATAAGGATTACCAAGATGGCGATGCCTCACTGTGGGGCTATGGCGATGGCGGAACATGATCTTTGATTTGGGCTAAATTCCCACATGGAATCTCCCTGCGGAATAGTACCCTCCCTTCCATGTACCACATTGTACAATGTCAAATACGTCAATCCAATAACTACTTGATAGTAAGCTTTATCAGACAGTGAAATTGATGAATAGAGAGAGAGAGTACACAAACATATACCTAACAGTTGTACTCTCTAGAAGATGACCCTATACAGTCTATACAAGCATGATAACTAAACATGTTTGACACACCCCCTGGACTGCATAGGGGAATGTTCTAGACAAGCAGCTCAGGGTGGCACTACTAGTCCAGCCTCTGAGACAAGGGTCTAAAAGACCAGTCAGAAGGAGTACAGGCAAGGCAAGAACTAGTACAGGGCGGCACTACTAGTCCAACCACTGTAAGAGGACACAAGTCCAGTCTGAGTGTACACACAGATATATATAGGGCAGTACAAAGTCAAGGCCCGAGTAAGTGAGAGACTACAGGAACCAGACCAAGCTGTACACAGTGCCGCTGATGATCTTTAGGCGCAAGCGCCTTCGTAAAGATATCAGCTGTGTTGGCACCGGAGGCTAAGTGTACTACGCGAGCCTGGCGACGCTGCTGTAGCTCACGCAGGAGGAAGTACCGCAGCTGGATGTGCTTCGCTCTGCCCTCGAGTCGAGGCTCCTGACACAGGAGGATCATGGCCCTGTTGTCAGCGTACAGGACCGGGGCAGAGCTAGGCCGCTCACCTAAGTCAGTGAGCAAGAAGGTCAGCCAGCGGAGCTCCTGTGCCGCCATGGCACCGGCGTAGATCTCAGCCTCACAGCTGGACTGGGCAACAGACGAGGAGCGGGTAGCTCTCCACGAGACAGCACCTGAGCCAAGGCTAAAGCAGTAGCCCTGGGAAGACCTGAGCGTCTCGGCGTCGTCTGCCCAAGAAGCGTCTGTGTGTCCAGTAAGGACCACTGGCCTGCGTCCGCCTAGCACTAACCCCATGCCCGATGTACTTGCAAGATAACGCAAAACCCTCTTAGCGGCAGACCAGTGCTGAGGTCGGTGTCTGCCTGTGGCCACGAAACGAGCCAGGATGCTGAGAGGGTATGCGAGATCTGGGCGAGTGCAAGTCATCAGGTACATGAGGCAACCCACTAGCTCAGCGTAAGGACCACTGGGATCTACCGACTCCTCAGGAACTGGAGCGGAGAGTCTGTGGTCCAGAGGAAGAGGGGTGGGCTGTGCGGAGGAGAACTGAAGGCCGAACCTCTGAAGGACCTGGCGCACCAAGTGTGACTGAGTCAGGGTGATGGTGCGCGCGGCTCTGTCCCTGGAGATCTGCAAGCCAAGGTAACGGCGCAGCTCTCCAAGGTCAGTGCAGGTGTGTCTCTTCAGCAGCTCTGCCTTCACGGAGGCCAGTGCGTCCCTGTCAGCAGTGGCAAAGACCAGGTCGTCTACGTAGACGAGGATGTAGAACGGAGTCGAGCCAGCACGAACGAAGAGCGAGGGGTCTGCAGAGGACGGAAAGAACTGCAGGTCAGCAAGGGTAGCACGCAAAGTGTCGTGCCACTCACGAGGCGCCTGGCGCAGGCCGTAGACTGGCCGCCGCAGAAGCCACTGGGTCCCAGGGGGGAAGGTGCCAGTAAAGCCCTGAGGGCGACGCAGGTAGACCTGCTCGTGAAGGCTGCCCTGAAGAAAGGCAGTGGAGAAGTCGAGGGAGTGAAGCTCGTAGTCACGCTGAGCCGCTACGTGTAGCAGCACCCGAAGAGTAGTCATCTTCGGGGTAGGAGCGAAAGTCTGAAAGAAGTCCACCCCCTCGCGCTGACTGAAGCCTCTAGCCACGTAGCGCGCCTTGAACACAGGCGGCTCTCCAGGAGGGCGCTTCACCTTGAAGAGCCAACGGCCATCGACCACGTTCACCCCAGGTGGGGGAACTGCGTCGACGAAGGTGCCGGTGGATCTCCAAGATGCCATCTCCTGCTCCATGGCAGCTATCCACTGAGAGGCCCAGGGTCCCGAAACCGCCTCAGCGTAAGTACGAGGGGTCGGGATGTCGAAAGCGTCTGGGTCACCCTCAGGGACTAGCAGCATGGAACAGAGATGGGGAGCAGCCTCGGACAGGAAAGCAAGCTCAAACTGGCGGTCCTCCAGGACGTCACTGCCGAGGGCAGGAGCACCCCCGACAGACGGAGGACAGGCAGGGTGAGAGACCAGAGCGGTGGCGTAGTCAAGGCGGCGGGTAGAGGCGAAGTCAGCGACCGCAGCGACGAGGGCGTCAAGACTCGACACGGGAACAGACGGGTCGGTAACGAGAGAGGCAAGGACCCGAGGAACAAGAGGACGAGCGGCACGAAAGGAGTCGGACAGAGGAGGAGACGCAACGACAAGAGAAGACGGAGGAGGAGACGGGAGGAGGGGAGGTCGAGACGCGTGGGAACGGAGCAACATAGGGTGAGAGCGCGGGACAGGGGAGACAGGACGAGCACGAGAGGGGCGGCGAGACCAGACGTGTGAGGGCGGCGTCGGGTCAGGAGACAGAGGAGGGGACACAGGAGGGGAACGAGGGGGAAGACGAGCCGGGGACGAGTCTGGCAGAGGGAACACGGGGCCGTAGACGGGAAGAGGGGGAGACGGCAGGAGAGGAACAGGCGCAGGGTCAGGAGACGGAAGGCCGAGCAGACGGAGGGCGGACACAGGCGGGGACTGCTGCTGCGGCGACACAACACCAACACCAGGGCCACAAGCTGCGCGACGGCTACCTCCCGAACCCTCCACACCTGCACCCCCAGAAGGGACACCCCCAGAGTCCACAAACGGCGGCAGCGACGACAGCGGCGGCGGCGGCGGCGGCTGCAGCGACGGCTGCGACGGCGGCGGCGGCGGAGACGACGGCTGCAACGGCGGCGGCGGTGGAGACGACGGCTGCAGCAGCTGCGGCGACGGCGGCTGCGGAGGCGGTGGAGGAGGAGACACCGGGGGAGGGACAGACGGCGAGGACTGCGCCGGAGGACTACCAGAGTCAGAAGACTCGTCGACCGGGACGACCGACGGGAGGGGGGTGACGTGAGACACACCAGAGGGGGCCGGACGGGGGGGCGGGGGGGGGGAGGGGCAGGGACCACCAGGGAGGGAGGAACCAGGAAAAGGGGGGGAGTAACCGGGGGACCACGGTGGGGAAAGCGGCGGTAGAAGGAGACGGACTCGTCAAAGGTGACGTCGCGAGAGTGAAAGAAGCGGTGAGACGGCGGGTGGTAGAAGTGCCAGTCGGACGCGTCAAGGGGGAAACCGAGGAAGACGCAGGGGAGGGTGCGGGCAGTGAGCTTGTCCGTGCCAGAGGCACGAACGTGAGCAAGGCAGCCCCAGACGCGGAACGCAGACGCGTCACCAGGGGACCCGGTCCACAGAAGGGTCGGCGAAACCTGCGGCCGCTGGGGGTGCGGCCACAGGTTAAGCTGGTGAGCGGCGTAGCGCACGGCGAACGGCCACAGAAAATGGGGTGCACCGGCGTGGATCATGGAGGTGCGAGCCACCTCCATGACCAAACCGATGCGTCGCTCAGCGACCCCATTCTGCTGCGGGGAGTCCGGCAGGGTAAACGTCTGGGTGATGCCCTCCGCACGACAGAAGCGACCAAGGACACCTGAGGCAAACTCGCCACCCCGGTCGGAGTGAAGGCGCAAGGCAGGGAGACCGCGGTGGACACGAGCAGAGACAAGCCAGGGGATGAGAACGTCAGGCACGTCGGCCTTCCGCTCCAGGGGGAAGACGGTGGTGTAGCGCGTGAAGTCGTCGACAAGCACTAGGAAGAAGCGCTCGCGACGCGGCCCATGGACCGGGGCTGGGCCCCAGACGTCCATGTGCAGAGTCTGCAGTGGTGCGGTGGTAGGGGGAAAAGAGGAGGAGTGAGGGGCACGGCGGAGCCGGCCCTCGACACAAGGCGTGCACGGTGGGGCGGGGGAGGAGGGAAACTCGGGGAACGAACCGGGGAGACCAAGGACGAGACCGTGCTGGGACATGTGACGCAGACGCGGGAGCGCAGGGTGACCTAGGCGGTGGTGCCAAAGGAGAGTCGGGTGAGTGAGGGACCGACAGGAGCAGGCAGCAGCAACCTGGGTAGACGCAGCCACCTGAGGGAGCGCTCCAGCCGGGGGGGTCACGGTGTCCAGAGTGAACAGGCCGGACACTGGGTCCCGGGGGAACGTGGACAGGGGGGCACCAGACAGCATACCGCTCGTGACCAGGGAACGTAGTGGTGACGCCAAGGTCCTGGAGGCAGCCGACACCAACGAGGTTCCTGGAGAACGAGGGGATATGCAGACCTGTGAGAGTGCCCGAAGGAACCGCCGGACAGGGAAGGGAGGTGGAACTGCGGGCAACGACGGGACCACCGGAGGGGTCAGCAAGAGTAACTGCAGCGGGAACAGGCAGCGGCGTCAGCGTCGTGGAGTCGCGGAAGAAACACCGGGAGGCGCCAGAGTCCAAGGTGAAGGAAAGCGCAGCAGTCGCGCGAGGCAGCAGTGAAGCGGTGGAAGCACCAAGGCTAAGCAAAGCAGGAGATCCTACGCCTGACGCAGCAGGGGAGTCTACGCTAGGCACCGCTACACTAGGCAACACGGGGTAATAAGAGGGAAGCACACTAGAGTCATCAGCATACATCACATGCAAGGCCGCTACAATGGCATCCATGTCCAAGTCAAAAATCCTAATGCTACGCCTAAGCAAGCTGTGCCAGTCCGGGAGGTCGGGCGCCGGGCCAAAGCGCTGGCGGAACAGGTCGTCCAGGCGACGAAAACAGCGAGGAGTAGAATGACCGATCTTACCGCAAACGAAGCCGCGGCGAGGACCGGTCTGGATCTGGTACTGACAGGGCCCGCCTCCAGAACCACCACCCGGTGCACCACCACGCGCACGACCACCACCAGCTCCAGGCCACCCAGGTGGGAGAGTACTCGCCTGCCTCGTCTGCGGCGGCTGCTGCGGCTGCTGCGAAGGCTGCG